TTACTTTCTAATAACAGATGAGAGTCTCTCTTTTCTCCTATAGAAATGTTTTTCTCTTTCAAAATATCCGGACAGCTGACCAACACAGATTCTGTTATAAGAAGTCTCACTCTGATTATATTTGTATTTTCAAACTATAAAAGCTATAAAGCTAACAAGTATGCCATTTAAAACTCAACTGTTTTGTTATCCACAATTATACCAATAGTAGCTATTTGATACAGTGATTTGGCTGCTATTTAGCCAGAAATAAATGCCTTTTTATATCAAATACTTCATGCATATTTTCCCTTAGTTTTGGGGGTTTTATTGTTTTTGCATTATGAATTTTTATCTTAGTAAATTTCTTAAATGATGAAAACCTATGGTTAAAATCTATCCCACATTTAATATGAGAAGTTAATTCTGAGAGTCACATACAACCTTATGCCTCTTCTAGCCAATATGCCATTTTTGAAGTCCTGCTTAAACCAAGGAACTGCATTTGGAATATTAGGGGCAGCTCTGGATTTGGATTAATTCCATTAGGAAATAAAGGGATTCCCCAGGAAACTGATGTCCTTTCTAGCTCTGAGCTTCTCTGATGCTCTGCAGTTTGATCAGAGTGCTGTCCCATCCTTGCACCCCTCATCTTGCCTCTGACTCACCAAAAATCAACTTTGGCAAAATGTACTCAAAATGAGTTTATGAAGACTAGTTCTCATGCAGTGAAAGTGTCTCTAGAAGCCATGCAGATTCACCAGGATTTGATGTGCAGTGAAAATCCTTCTTTATTCAAGTGATTTCTCACATTCTGGAATGACAGTACCAAAGGAGCCTCTGCACCCTGCTAAGTTGGAGGTGGAAGGAAGTAGCATCTGAGTTCTCATAGCTGATATTTATTGAATATTTATTTTTGCCTGACACTGTGCTACTTGCTTGATATGCACCATCACATATAATCATAACAGCTCTGAGGGTAGATATTATTATCCCCATTTTACAGATGAGAAAAAACCAAGACTCAGGGACATTGGCTACCATGCACCAGGAAGAGCCAGGCTAGGAGTTGGACCGAGGGCTCTCTGTGTCACTAGCCAGAACCCTTAACCACCATACCACCCTCTTTAATTTCTCCATTTTTTGTTCTATAATAGCATTCAAATACCAAATATAAATGGCTTTTTAAATCACCACTGCTTTAGAACTCCAAGAATTTAAATTCTTAATATATTAAATAGATTGGAACTTTTTGAGGGTGATCACCATTTAGTCAGCATCTTCAGTTTTGAAAATGTTTCACTCCAAATTTAACCAAAAAAATAAATAAATCATCAAGGACAGTTTTGTTCAAATAGGGCACTCCTGTGAAAACTTGTATTTAACTTTTTCTAGGAGAATTAGCAAAAAATATCTAGTTAAGTCACGTAGGTGCACAGATTGATTTGTTTATTCAACAAATGGGTATTGAGAGCCTACCGGGTAGGAGGCTATGCTCTGCATATTAGGGAGACCACAGTGATGAGGGCAGGGGTCTTGCCTCCATGGGGCTTACTTTCTGAGGGGGAGTAATCAGTCTGTGCTCCACAGGGGCAGGATAGACTATCCAGGCTCTAGGGCAGGCATGATGACCATCAGAATAAAAAACTAAAATAAACAAAATTAAGCTGGTAAGAACCATGCTATTAACAGTAAGTCCAAGAAAAGGCATTTATAAGTTAGAAATGAGTTTATTCTAGTCCCTAAAAATCTTTATTTTTACCTGCTACTTTAAATGCCCTTCAAATTTTTCAAAAACTGATGGATGTCATCAGGTGGGCTGTTGGAAACTAAATTGGAAACATTGTCCTACAGGTTTTCAGAATTGCGGTTCACCAACTCCAGGAAAAAGGAAAACAAAACAAAAAAAATGCTCCATAAAGCTTTTAAAAGTCCCAAGAAGACAAAAATGTTGCTCAGGAGAATGGAGGAGCTTCATTTTAGGCTAGACCAACTGTTCAATACAATTCATCAGTCTTAAAACCAAAAGACCGAAGGAAAATATACTAACTGCTCCCCATTGCTTTTCAGTAATAATGTACTGTTTACAAAAGGCTTTTCCACAGATTATCATTCAGTCTTCCCTGCCACCTTGTAAGACAGTTATCATCATCCCCACTTTAAGAATAAGAAAGCAAGGATCAAAGACGTACAACTGGTTCAATTAGCGCTAGGTCAAGACTTAACAAATGCCAGAGCCAGACCTTGGACCTCTGACCTTAACTGATTGTTTCTCCACGGCTGCCTTGCTGATTTACCTCCCTGTATTACCAAACCCCAAAATCAGTTTCCTATGGAAATGGTAGAGTCAGAAAGCATCTACAAGTGGGTTACAGACATTAGCAGATGGCAAGGAGAAGTGGGGATATCCATCTAACCTTCGATTGTTAATCCAAGGGACAAATCAGCTTCAGGGTTTGGAGCCACTGGCAGACACTGGCCACTGAGGCCAGTGACCAAGCAGCTTTTAAAACTCTGATCTGCTTCCCCTGCCCAGTCCTAGCAAACATCATATGAAGACTGCACTCAAGCCCTCTATAGCTCTTTTTTTGAGATTATCTGTCTATCCTCATGTGAACATTTCTGACCACTTGGGTCTGAATATCATGAAAATATAAACTCCTCTGTGGCAACAGCAGTGGTTTATTCTTCTTTAACATCTCAGCAGAGCACAGGTAGGAACTCATTAAAAGGCAGCTGTATTGAAATGTTTGTGGCTTTGACAACTTGGTGACTTGAAACATATTTTGTCCCTGTCATCACTTTTAGGTTGGAGAGACAATTGGCATCAGTGAAGAGATCATGGGTCTGACCATCTTGGCGGCTGGGACTTCCATCCCTGATCTTATCACCAGTGTCATTGTGGCCAGGAAGGGACTCGGGGACATGGCTGTCTCCAGCTCTGTTGGAAGCAACATTTTTGACATCACTGTAGGGTAAGTAGACATAGCCCTGCACAGGTGCACCCCAGCCCCTCGCTGTCTTTGTCTTCCTAGAAGCTGTGAAGGTGTGATCAGCCTCTCTGAGCCTAAACTAACCACTACCAACAGAAAGTAAAGATAAGAATACCAGTTTGCCAACTCCATTTTTCATTTTCAGCGAACTTAATGAAGAGTGAGTTATCCCTAGACAGGTAGAAACACATTATGTGTGTACAGAGTGAATGTTGTAGTGGGAAATACTCTAAGAGAATTTCACTTATATAATGGCATTGGCTACAAATTATGAGTATTTCATATTCAGGTATGACTGAGATGCTCTGGTTGTTTCACTATTTTTTTAATTGAACTAGATTTTTTTCCATAGTCTTAAGTAAAGTCCCCACCAGCCTCAGGTGAGATTTGGATTGTAAAACAGATTGGAACAAATACAGGCTCAGCAAAAATATCCCATCTCCTTTGTTAGAAAATGCTGGTAGGTTTGGTGTTATCATTCATTTATCTGTGCTGGTGAAGAGATTCTAGTTTTTGGAAGTGAGATGAGATCTTTTCTTACAGTTAAGCAAACTGGAACTCTCAATATGAATAATTTCTAAAGTGGATCAGATTGGCTGGGAATACTCTATCATTATTTCTATCATTTCATTTAACTTATTAAAAGTAAAAGTAGTCTGATAAATAACCCTGAATGGCAGCCCCGTGAGCAAGTAAGACATGAGATGTTATCCTTATGTTCTCAGAAGAACTGGGCTCTTGACACTTGAATTCGGGAACTCACCAAAATGGATCTACTTTCTCACTGAATATCATGAATATTGTTGTTTCTTATACCTTTTCATGCTTATAATATCATTTTCATTCAGTTGCCTACCATGTGCTCTGTACACACATGTTTATCCATTGAAGCCACCCAACAATCCTAAGAGATATGTATTATCATCCCCATTTTTAAGGTAAGGAAGTTGAAGGGCACAGAGCTCACAAAACTAGTAAATGAGATAGCTGGGATTTGAACAGTCTGCACTGTCAACCACAGCACCATCTGTGCCTAAAAGCTGCTCTGCTCATCCACTGTCTGAACCACTTTTGAGTTCCAAAGGTGCCGTCTCCTGCACCTGCAGTATTTCCTTCCATTGCAAGCCACTCTCAGTCAAGAGCCCTCCCTGTTTGTCTGCTTGGAAAATTCTAACTTATCCTTCCAAATCAACTCAAACCCTTGTTTCTCTGATTCCCTTGGGTCTGACCTGGGGCCTCTTGCTCCTGTATACTCTCTGCATATCATCTCTTGTCACAGTCATGATTATCATTCTGCACACTGGACTGTGAAGTCCCCAAGAGCAAGAACTCCCCAAAGCCTAATGCACAGTAGTGGCTTGACAAATGTTTGTAGAATGAATGCATGAATGAATGCCTTAAAGGTATATTTTAAAGAAGGCTGTCCCTAGTATAAAACAATGTTTCTCAGTTCTGATGCTGAACATTTAGAGTAGTTCTCTTAGCCAATCTCATGAAAAAGAAAAGAAAATGTTATGTAGCATAAAAAGAGAAAATCCTATAAACTGGGAAAAATTACAAGTATTCTATGAGACATATTTGTCATGTTTTTGAAAAATGAATATTCTGGGGAATTGCAAGATGCTCTTTGTTCATTGTTCTTAAATTGGACATACAGTGACCACTTAAACGAAAGTTTAAAGAAAAACCACCCCAAGTCCTCTTACCCAAAACAATATTTAACTTTTCTATGTTCTCTTCCAAATACTTCAGTTTTCTTAATGAACATTTAGTTTTGTCTTCTTGGAGGGCTTTTATCATTTTAAAGCCATTTATGCCTGGCACAGAGCAGGCCTCTATTAGTCAATTAGTAAATCAAGCATTTTTCTAAGTTTCTTAATAGCTCTCATAATTAACATCTTACGGCTTCAGAATTTTCCAACGTGTTGCTTTTCAGTTTAGCCATTTTCCTGTGTAAGACCTACTTTTTCCAATTTTCTGCTATTATGTTTTGATGAACACATTTATGAAGCAAAACTACTCTTTTAATTATTTTTATTAGGATAAATTCCTTCAAGAAATATTAATGAATTAAGGATTATGAGCTATTTATTGGCTACTAATGTATTTTTTCCATCCGGTCTTTCCCAAGGGTTTATACTAATTTACAAAGTCACTGTCAATATATTGAGTATAAAACGTTCTTCATAGTCTTTCCAGCATTTTCTTCTTGCTCATAAGATTAAAACATACTCATGGTAAAGGTTTAGAAAATTCATATAAACCATAAATAGAAATCAGTGATGACCCACCACCTTTTTTAATTCATATATATATATACATTTTGAATTACTCCTTATACTTGATCTCTGACTGTAGAATTGATAGGTCCAAAGGTATGAAAAGTGTTGTTCTTCCCCCAAAGGGTTTTTACCTATTTTACCTATTTGTAGTGGCATCAACCACAACTTCACTAGAACTGTTTGTGTGTGTGTGTTCTTCCTTAATAAGTGTACAAGTTTTTTGGTCTTTTTCCACTTCCATTTAATAAAAGTACAAGTTTTTTGGTTTTTTTGTTCTTCCCCGGGAAGTGTGGAAGAAGAGTTCCCTAGGACAAGTCCCTAACAGGAGGTTGTCATTTTCATTTGGTCACCCCTCTCTGCCATGCCCTTCCCCTGCTCTGACTCCCCAGTACTGACGGTGGGCTAACAGGGCCACCCCCTACTGCCGAGAGCTGGGATTGCACCTCGTTTCCTGAGCCAGCCCTGCAGAGCCCTTCCTCCAGACATCCTCCTCTGAAGGCAGTGCCTCTCAGTGCCTAGCCGGCAAAGCGCCCATACTGCTCGCCATGATTTCAGCTTGGCCCAGGTTAACATAGGCAGCCAAACTGAAGCCTGCATGTCCCAAGCCCCAGGAATTCAAAGATGCATACCAGGTATGGCCCTGTCTTCACAAGCACTCTCTCCAGCAGAGGAAACCAGTGTGTAAGCTCACTGCCTCTTTCATCTCATTATTTCTCTCAAGTGATTTGCTTTTCCTCTGGAGAATTTTGAGTTTCAAAAAGGCACCTCTTTCTTCCATATCCCTGAGGCTAGGCCAAAACTAAATCTCCCTTTGTCATTTGCTGTGCAGATGGGTGGCTGGGGCTGTGGTTTCCCAGCCTTAGGCTCCATGGCTTCATCTCACCCAGCCCTTGGAGGTGCAGTTGTGCATTTTCAGCCATGTTCCTTTCACACAGGGTTTTTAACCCACTTCATAGGGCACCTGGCAGTTAGATTTTCTGATGTCTTTCAGAGTCATGAACAGGAAACAAAAGATTTTATCAGATTGTTATCAAAAGGCAAAAGCAAAGGGAGAGAATGGGTATAAAAATACGTAATAAATTTTTTCAAAATCACATCACAAATGTAAGATACTGTTTCCTCAGATCATTCATAAAGACCATTTTCTAGTCAAAAGGTTTGCCCCTCTTTTCCAAAATAATATTCAGACAGTTATATTGCAAAACAGCCTCCATCATAAGCATATATTTTCACTTACTCTTAGATCATTAATTAAGTTATTGCTATTCTATCTCCATTTTCAAAAATAAAACTGGGTGAAAATGGCAAAATTATTTTCTTTTCTCCTTTTGTTTTCTGCTCCTCTCACCCCGTACAGATTCTCTAGGTCACCTGTTTAGGGGTGAGAGCAACATTTTAATCCCAAAAAGAAAAGAAAGAAAAAAATTATTTTGAATCAAATTCAGAAATCACCTACAGCAGACATGTCTTTGATCTTATTCAACTGTAGAACAAATTCTCTCTGTTCTCCCTAATTTGATCGGGAAATAGATAAAAGATTTTAAAGTTCACTTGACTTCCTTAGGTGATTTTCTGGGCCATGCCCGAGTCACAGTGGGCCTAACAAGACACCCTGCTCAGATTATGTTCCAATAAGCTTGTGTCACCGCATAGGCCTTCCGCATGTCTGACTGCACGTCTGCCCTGCCCCTCTCCCTCACAGGCTCCCACTGCCCTGGCTCCTGTATACCATCATCCACAGATTCCAGCCAGTGGCTGTCAGCAGCAACGGGCTCTTCTGCGCCATTGTCCTCCTCTTCATCATGCTGCTCTTCGTCATCCTCTCCATCGCCCTCTGCAAATGGCGGATGAACAAAGTGCTGGGCTTCATCATGTTCGGCCTTTACTTAGTGTTCCTGGTGGTCAGCGTCCTTCTAGAAAACAGAATTCTCATGTGTCCTGTGTCTATCTAGCACGATAAGCCATATCTTGAACCAACAGCATGGATGGTCCCTCTCGGCTCTGGGTTCTAGGTGCCTTGACCTCTCGAGAAGAGGCAGCTGGCACACAGCCCTGGGCCTTTCACATGTCCCTCCTTGGAAGATCCGAGGAGGGACGGAGTCACACGGGGCCCGCTCATTTCACAGGCTGCTTCCACCCTTGCCTATGAAACAGCTTCATGCAAGAGACAAAGGACCATCCATTCGGGGCTTCTCTCCATTCACCACTGACAGGTACTCCTTCCTCGTCGGAGGTACATTAATTGTAATGATGCAAACAATGATGGAGGCTATATATACATATAAGATATACATATTATAAATAGATGGATGCATTCCCGCCTGTTCCTGTATTATACCTCTCCTCCCGTACTTAGAGTCATACATACCTGTATACAAACACAGCAAAAGAAAAATTTTATATATATATAAAATCATATATATATATATATATATATAAATACAAATGCATCTTTTCAGGGATAGATCTAGTATATTTATAGTACCTATTTGAAGAGGGGCATCAACCTTCAGTCTGAGCTTTACCTCTTAAATGCAAGAAGTGAACTGATAGAATCATTGCTGTGACCTTTAACCTACCTTGGACTTCCTGGGAATCCCCCCAGTAAGGTGGATGTTTTAGGGAACTAGGTTGCAGGAGGGTGGTTTGGTGGGGAGGGTGTAAGAGCCCTGAGTGGACCCTTCCAAAACATTCCCACAAGCCAAACAGAGAAAGCTATCTACCCACACCTGCTGGGGTACACTGACAAGAGACCATAGGGTCACAGGACAGAGGTAAAACCCAGACTGGGTGGATACTGGCTGCGGGCAGTGGGGAGGTGACCAGGATTGGTTTGGGGATTTTTTTTTTATTGCCCCAGCATGCAAGTAGACAATATAACTGCAAACCAAACTAGCACTCTTCTAGGACAGCAAGACTATATAAGCCGAACCTATGTTGTTCCAATGCATGTCTCATTACCATCAAAAGGAGGGGGGCAAGTTAGCTGTGATTGTCACTTAGACATATTTTGATGCTAAGGGCTCACCTATAATCAAAATGCCTTCCAAGAGAGCCTGGATATGTGATTAGACATAGCATCCAGTAGAGTTGCTCAGTGGGACTTGTCACCTAATGGGAATGGAAGGGCATAGTTCTTGAAAGCATCTGCCAGTGTGATCATCAATGGCTTCTGTGACTAAAGAAATCATTATTCCTCCAGTAGAACTGACCTGATTCTGATCAATACTGCTTGAGTTGAGGCAGCTTAGAGGTGTTTGGAAAGGCATTTGCACACTTAGTGCATTCCAGAAGGTTTCTGAGTCCTATGGCGAGTCGTGCCAGGGCCAGGATTTATTTAAAGCCTGTGCAACATCTGTGTCTCTCTCACCATCAGAGCCCCAGCTGGGACTCGTTCTAGCTCACAGAGTGTACTGAAGACTATACTCAGCAGTTTCTTTACACTGGCTCCAAGCCAATCATTCCAAGGTTAGGATTTCTGGATTTTGCTTGGCATTCATTGAATATTTTCATTTCATTCATTCAATGCCTCTAAGTTCTGTTTGACACCTTGTATGATTTCCCGGTTTTATGTCAATAAGAAAACAAAACCAGCAGGGAAAGAAAACCAGGCAAACTAAATTGGTGAAAAAATATAGAGAGCTTTTTTCATTTCCCCAAATCATTCTTTCCTTAAAATCAGGTAAAAAGGTAAATAGAGGATGGCCCATTATCCTGTGCCCATTATCTAAGCTGGCACATGCCATGTTTGGGAAAAAATACCATATGTATTCTTGATGTCGATTCCGCACGAAGAGCATACGAGCTGCCCCACGTGTGCCACTCACGACAGAAGCCCTTTTTTCATATGTGTTCTTGTACCCAGTTTATTGTGTCACTGATGGCTTGCTGTGATTTTGTCATGAGCACATACCTCCTAACACAGGGAAACAGGATGCAGAACTCACAACTGAATAAAGAGGGAGACCTTAAAGCCTCAGCTCAGTCTCAGTATTCCCCCGCAAAGCCTCACCTCACCCCACAGAGCATGGCAGTTACAGGCAGTGCCCATCGTTGCTTTTCACCTCCACGCAAGGAGCACTCTTATGTGGAGGCCCACTGGGAAAACAAGAAATCAAAATGCTTGCCACCCAGGAGGACTTGCTTTTGAGTCTCTCCAACCTTGCAAATTCAGGGCTTTCAGTTGTGTGAGAGAAACCTGCATCTTCTCTTCAAGGGCAGAGTTTTGTGCCATGGCAAGAATTTGTGCTACTTCCTTAGAGTGAAAGAGAATGAGTACGTGAACTTTTTGTTAAAAACTCTGCTTGTTTTCCCTGTGCATTACTTGAAGCACAGTGAAGTCAGTTGTTGCGTGAATACGTATCATGGACTGGTTTGTTATTTGAAGGAAGGTTTGAATAGGCCATCTTCCCTCAACCGCAGATAGACTGTGTGAAACTGGAAGGAGGAGGGTGGTGGGGGCATAGTCTTGTTCTGGGTCCAGCACTTCCCGGTGCCCCCGCCCCCAGCCCCCTCGTGCCTCCCCATTCACTCCCAGCTCTCAGTGAAGACTCATCCAGGCAGCCACAGAGCATTTCACACGCCTGGGAGCTCCACCTCCTGGGAAGTCACTGATGTGGTCATCACTGACAGTTGCATTTGAGAGGACAGCATTTCCGAGCCCAGCTCCCACTTCTGTGATGTGCATGATGCCCAACAGCAGGGTTCCCTGGCTGGTGGGGACACAGCCACCTCCTCTACCCCCCTGCCTCTGCTTGCCATGCTTTCCTCTCATTCTGTGTTGGTGAGGGTCTGTGTTGGGCTGGGGTGAATCCAGAGAGGAGTGTATAGAATTTAACAGTGGATATTTAAAAGCATTCAAATCATTAACATAAGAAAGAACTTGTCACATCATGGCTTCTTCCTAAGTAGGTCACCTCTCATGCCTTTCCGGCATGTCTGTGTACATACACATATATACACACCTCTACACTAGATTCCTACGTACACACCCAGTATCACCCACATCATCGCCCTCCGACCCAGTCACATTCAGGAGCCAAATGCAGAGGACATCAGGTCTGCTGTAGTGAAGGGAAAGGAAAGCCCTGCACACCAACAACCAAAGGGGCGGCCTCTTCCTGGCCTCATGCGGTTTGTTCGATGCACATCAACACCCAAACATACACATATGCACCTCCCCTGTCTGTTTTCCTGCCCCAGTAACATAGGTTTACAGCCTTAAGGAAACAGCCAGCCATATCCCTCATGCTGATGTAGAGGCAAGGAATACACAACAGCAGAGTACAGGGAAAAGGGTGGACCAGGATATATGATGATACCAAAAAATTCAAGAGCCAACTTCTTACTGCTCAATCTGAAACAAACGAGCTGCACCCAAATGGTTCCATTTACCCATCACAAACCAAGCAGGTCTTGCTTGCTGTCACCTCCTGTCACCCTCGGCAGCCTCAGGACAGGAGAGCAACTTGGCTCAAACCGAGAATGCCCAACTAGAACCTTCCAGACTGCATCTGGGAATGCCCATACTGAGTGCAGCTACCCTCTGCACCTGAATAGTTCCTGAAGAACTGAAGCTGGAGATTACATTGTGTTTATTTAAGCTTCCCAGGACCTAAGCCGAGCCAGGCAGAAACACAAATATGTGCAGAGACTAAGGGCTGTTCATCAGTTTGGCAGATACAGCAGAATATCTGAAAGCCTTCTGCCCAGAAGATTATTAAAAAAAGAGGCAAGGTCTGTTTCATGGTTGGGGAAAATGCTCTGTAAAGCTTCTAACAGGTGTCACCTGACAAAAGCCATTATAATTTATTTTCTAGGGAAGACATGAATCAGGTGGTTTGGAGCCCTTTCAGCAAAACACAGCTGCCTCACTGATGAGACATTTGATGATATCAATGCACATCCATTCCTAAACTGGGGAAGAGCTGGCAAACTCCCCACCATTGCTCCCAGCTCTTACACTCCTCTTAACAGGGAGAAAGGAGATGAGCTATAAAGGGCAGCCCCCCTTCCAGACCACCTTAACAGAAAGCTGACCAAGAAAATGATAACAGATAGGGCTACTGGCCAGACAGACAGCTGGAGACAGTGGTTGAATGCTCTGCCAAAATTACCGGGTTGGAACATGGCCTTGAAAACCTGAGTGCAAGCACTTCAGAAAACTTCAGTATGCTTCCCTCCTTACAACTAACCTCACACACACAATTATGAGCCATGTTCCCTTGCACCTGGACAGATTGTTACCCAATAATTTGCCATATTGTAAGTCGCAACTCTTTTCAAGAAAAGAACAAAGGGAAACTGTTCTCAGGGCAATTTCTGGAGAAACCGACTGTCCCCTGAAAGCTTGGTATAGGAGCTAATTCTCATTCTTGCTAAGCCAGATCTCACATAACCACCTGGCATAATATTTTTAAAAGGTGCGTCCTTGACTCCTATACCTCCCTCAGCAATATTGTCTTCATTAACAAGTAGGGGCTTGTCATTAAGAAAGAGTTGGTGAAAAAATAAAGAATAAGAAAAGGGAAGAAAGGAGAAATTAAATACTTAACTTTTAGTAGGATTCCTAAGAAAGTGTCACATTGATATATATCCCTATAAAGTTTAAAATAATTACAAACTTCAGGCTTTTTCTTAACCCATTACAAGAGCCTATTAGAGTCCCAGATAAAAATATTTTCCCTTCTCAAAAAGGCCTCAGGAGAGAAAGGTAACTTGCCCCTGCTCCACTATCTATTTACGTTTAGCTCCTAGCTGCTGCATCTTTGCATTTCTTTCTTAATCTCACAGCTTCATTTTCTTTGAAATATGTAGCAAACAAGAAGAGCAATAACGGCCATACTCACAGCCAGCTAAACTCCTTTATTCATCATTACATCATCACAATATTTTCTTCACTTCACTAGGAGCTTTGAAACTGCATGCATTGTGGCATGTAATCAGGAAAATGTAGATGTCTGTAGAAATCACAGGTGCTTCCCCCTTAACCCCTCCCCACCCAAAACAATGTGCACACTGCTGTCTTACATGCCTTCTTCGTACACAGGGGATTGGCGTTGCTCAGAACCACCTGCATTCCACAGTGGTCTTTGATCTGACTAATGAGACATTTCTTTAGAAAAGCAGAAGAGAGTTACAAAGGACCAATGAATCAGTCAGCCAGCTTAGTAGAGACAAAATGACCTGTAATTAGGCCTAGATAGACTACTATCTTCAAATTAGTGTGTAAATAAGCAGGAGACTGACTATATGGACCACCAGATAATCTAAGCCACAGCTCTCCCACTAAATGACTGATTGACAACCTGGAAAAGCTTAAAGCCCTTTAAAAAAAAAAACAGATAAATACCTAAGTCTTAAAGAGTGCCATGGAATTTGCATTGAGTTTGCCAAAGGTTAAATTCTGTTAAGTGAGTTTATCTAGCCTATCACCCTGATCTAAAGGACAAACCTTCTCTAAAAGAGGGGTCCTAGCACAGATGTTTCCTGGTGCCCATTTCCACCAATAATTAATATTAACAACCATCAGGATCAAAAAAGTCTCCCTCCAGGTTAACCCAAGCCCCTCAAGTTGATGACTTATCTTTTTTTCTTTTTGACAACGAAAAACTGCGTCTGAGTACCCTTCACTATTTACCCCTGACACAGCTGGAAGTCACCACTGTGTGACCCTTCCTCAGCTTATCAGTTTTCATCAAAAATATCTTTAGATTTTTATTTCTGGGTCTTTTTTCCTACCCTCTAATTAATTTTTACAGTTCTTCTCTACCAAGCTCTATGTTGTTCTTAAATTATGGGACCTTATGACTAATGATGAGGCAAGTATAAAGTCTGAACAGGGATGAATTACAGCCTCAAGCCTAATGCTTTGCTCCCTTTTAATGCACCCTCTGCTGCCCTTACCTTTTAGAAAGTCACACTTCATTGCTAATTCACATTAATTTTGTGCTTCCTATGACTTCTGTACCTTTCTTCCAAGGCCTTTATGAAGCCAGTGCATTTCTCACCTGGCCCCAGTGTATTTGAATAAGTGACCTACTACAAGAGTCTTTGCTTGATCTTGTTGAGTTGCAGTCTGTTTACTTCTAGCCCCATTTCCAGTTTTCAAGTACAGGTTGGACCCAGTGCTTACTCCGCTTCAAGGTTCTCACCATCAACCTCCCCAGTGTACTTGCATTTGGCAAGTCTAATGAGCATTTTCTCCATCTCCTCATTAAAGTGACTTAGTCAAAAATGCTAGACCCCTGCCCCCAACAATGTATAATTTGTGTAACTGATTACTTCTTGGAGGGAAATCCCTCCTAATTGCTACCAAAATGTGAACAGAATTCAGAAGCACAAGAGAAGAGGGTGACAGAAATACCCTGAGAGCGCCAGTAGGCCTTGATGCAATGAGCTCAGAGGCGTTTATCCTCTGGTGAAAAGGAGGAGTACTGGGTGGGACATTATCCTGAGGCCCTGCAGTGGCCAAGTTCATGAGCTTTGTGTTTAAGGTCATAAGCCCACACTCACAAAGAGCTCAGAAAGGGAGAGACACCTCTGGAGATCATTCAGAAACCCTGGACCTGCACTTTCCTGTACTGATTTACCAGAAGGAATTTATATTTTTACTTTAAGTAGGAAATTAAGGATTCCCCTCCCATCCCATGTATTGTGGTGCATTTTGCTTGTGTGGTAGGTTGGACAGGAATTGTAAGGCTGTTGACTGGTGTCCTGGCCCTGGAAAGTAGGCTACAGTTCACCAAGAGGAGGGGAAATGCTCCTGCATTTTCACATCCTGGGTTGCATTTTCCTGTATAATGGGTCCATAACTAAGATCTTGAGACTGACAGTTCTCTAAAGCACTCTACTAACCAAAACAGAGTACTAATTTTTAAAATCATGTCACCAAAAAAGGAATAAATGAAGTCTGAATCCCTGAATAAGTAATTTTAAGGATGAAATTACATGCATTCATTAAGGGTAGATAATTCCTTGCCATTTAATTAAATGAATCTCCAATTCTTCTCATCAGGATAAAACTGAAGGACAATGGATGCCTTTTGGGTTTTTTAATTTTTTAATATTGCACTTTATAGTACTTCATAAGAGACAATTGTCTTAATTAAAGCCATAAAATACCAATAATGCATATATTCAGGGCTTCTGGATATAGTCAATCAATAAGCAGTCCATGAGTCATTCCTGTTCTGAATTGTTTGTTGTAAATTGGACTTTATCTGTTCAGTTTTTATTGCATACAATTATTGTTCTGACAATCCTAATCTACTGATAAATATTAAATGTATACTTTAATAAAACTGAAAAATCCAAGAAATTACTCATTTCACAAAACCATTCTTCATTTTCAAAATAGCTTGTTATGCAGTTCATTTAAATAGCAAGTGCTGATAATATATTGAAAGTATTTCTTTTTAAATTATAGATTTGCTATTTTTCAGGAATCCACTTGTTACATTAAAGCAAGGCTCACCCATAAGGAGACTGAAGTAATTAACAAATATATATCTAGGAAATGTAATGTTTGTTTGAATGTTTATATAAAATAGGATGGGTCTAAGAAGTTCCCTTATAAAAATGGCAAATAAAATTATACAATTTATCAATTTCTGATAACTAAATTATAAACCTTCCTTGGGAGGACATATAAAAGACTTCATAATTCATTTTTTTCCTGCTAAAATACACAATTTCTGACCTAGTATGATTAGACTGCTTATACACACATACACACAAATGTCCCCACAACCAAAAACTTTTAACGTTTTACTGCATCACAACTCTTAATGTAATTTGAGTGAAAGCTAAGAGAAAGACTAACAGGCACCTAATAGCCTATAAATATTCACCACAACTGGATACCTAAATTATCAATATAGAGTAAAAATGTGTATTAAATTGAGGAACCCCATCAATTTCATGCTTAGATATCCATTTGCCCTCATTAGTGTGAATATTCAAAAATGCTAGACCCCTGCTCCCAACAACGTATAATTTGTGTAACTGATTGGTTCTTGGGGGGAAAGAAAGTGTCTGGATATTAGTGATGTTCTTGATGGGGACTATTTGTGGTCTGAAGAGTTTCTCGGAAGGGCAAAGACTCTCCATCTGGAAGAGGGAGCCTAGGTAGCCATACAGGCCTGTTGAACCCTTCACACAAGTCCAAGTGTGTGCCCTGCATCTAGCCTGGATGTTTATTCTGCTCCAGTTTTGAAAAAAACTCCAGAAGCAACATTTCCGTCTCCAATCAATCTGCCATCTCAAAGAACTAACAAAAAAGAGTAGCAAAGCTACTTTCCTGGTTTAATGAGATTGCTGCTACCATTAAAAGAAAGATAAATTATGCTTTTGTTTTTTGCATATTGTTAAAACAGAAAAAATATTGTCAACACTGACCCCAACACAGACTTTGCCCTAGAACACATAAACTTTTTTTTGGACAGGTTACATTAAAAATAGAAGAATGCCATTTTTGTAAAGGATCTTTTTAGGGATAGATGTCTTCTCATGCTTCCTTTGTTTGCTTCCATTTTCTAGAAGCATTTTAACCCGTATCTTTACCCTGACAAGAATCTAGTTCATGCACTTTAAAATTATTTTTTGTCATTTGTGTGTGTTCTGTTTATTATGAACAACTTTCACTGAATGATGAGATGTATGGGGATTTTGCATCAGTTTATTCTCTGTGACTATGTCTGTACATAGACTGAAAGCTATACTTATTTGTATATAGGCTGTTTAGAATAATGTGTTTCTGTCACATGGACTTCACTCTGATAGAGCGTGTTTCTTCACTGTGTTCATCTTACACTTGCCACACCTTTGTGCTTCTGCTACTGGTAATCAGCTCATAGAATATCACTTTATGTAACTAAGTCTCCTTGGTGTGAAAAATAGTAATAAAAAATGCATTGACTCAAATATCACTGTTGTTTTGTTTTTGGAATAATCCTTACCTTCAGCTAATCAGGACGCTCAGGATATCAAGAAATAGACACATAGTCATGGAAGTTTTGCTGAAATGATTCAAAAGAACAAAAAAGTAGGCAGGAGTTAGTATTCATTATAACAACCATTTAGTGAGCACTTCCTAATGTCATTTCAGCTTTTAAAATGTCATTTAAACTTTGGGCCTTCTCCTTCAGCCCATTCCACACAGATGGGCAGTTTACCCAATACAGTCTAGGTTTAAGAGGTCTTCCTCTTTTTTTGAGTGTCTCCCTGGGCAAAGCTTCTCCATTCTCTGGAGGAATTTTTGCAAGCAACAATTGTGGAAATAGCACATCCCAAAAGTCATGCATTAAATAAAAAATGTTAATGAATGGTTATTGTCATTGACCTGATAACTGGGTTTCTCTCCAGAGGAAGATTTAAGGTCCTTTCTCTGTCAACCCAGTGGATGGGCCGAAGGCACATAGCCAAGTTTAAGGAAAACTTGAAATCCAGACTCATCTCTTCTTCCAAATGAATCCCACTTCTCAGAGACAAGGATTTATGAACTCCTTTATATTTAGGAAAAGGTACAAGACATTTTGCCACTGAGTTCAACCCAATGATGTTTTAAAACTCAGAAGTTTGCCCTGATGGTATTTTGTAAATATTTGCATCAGAATATTAATGCCTATTTCATCAATGCTAATTTCAGGCAATATTCATTAGATTGATTAAAATCCTTGATCAATTATCTATAGAGAAAAATTTTCTGATTGTTTTCTGTTTTATTTCACTAAAATTTTTATGGAGATACTGCTTTTTTATAAATTTTAAAACATTCTATTCATAAGCTAAGCTTTGTTTTGATATCCATATCAAAATTTTTACCAACCATAGTTGCTATTGGAAATAGATATCAGAAATTGTCTCCATTATTTCTACTGAGCCAGTCTTTTTTATGGATATGATTTTACAGATCTAAATTTCATTAATAAAATTTAGTGTTTCCATCAATATTTCACCCACAATTCAAACTGCACTCTTTGGAGATTATGGTGACAAAGAAAACGACATCGTGTACCCTGGGATTGCTATACTTTCTCAGGATGCCTTCATCTTTTTTGAAGGTCTAGGCTTTAAGTTTGGCCTCAGCAAAGATTTTTGGCAACAGAAACACCCAATTTCCTACAGCACAGCAGCCCTGCACGAGTTGTTGGGATTTTTTTTTACTACTCACCCCAATCTTTTGTAATGACATTTTCCAAACATATTTCTGAGTGTAGTCTCAGCTTCAAGTTCTATAGTACTAAAATCATGAGAACTATTTAAATAACCAAAAAAAAAAATCCGTTACAGCAGGCATTTGATTAGCTTATAAAATGTTAAAGGAAATTGTTTCACATGAGTAACATCTATTAAGTTTTATCATGGTTTGTAAAAATAAAAATAAATTATGAAAGAAATTCCCCTCACAACTATTTGCATAAGCAACTGGCCTACAAACATTTGCATAATTAATGGTTAAAAAAACACTCATTAGTTGTCACAAATACAAGGATACTGGGATCCAAATGCACTGACAGTTACGGAACATACGGAACATACAGTAGTCTTGATATAAAGTGTGTGATGATCAGAGTCCAGAACTGTTGGAAAGATTAACTGTGCTCTCTCTTCCTATGAAGCTGCATGCAAGTTACTCTGCATCACCCTTTCCTGTCTACGAAATACTACTACTGCATTCCTACCTCCCTATAGGTTGTCAGAAAGAATACGTGAATTATTTCTCCATAAAGTGCCTGGCGCATAGTAGGATCTTAGGATGTTTGCTCCCTCCCCCCATCTCACACGACCTTGAACAAATTATATAATCTCTCCACAACTGAGAAAAATCTCTTAAACAGGTCCTTTATTGGGATATTTGAACACTTCCTAAGCTTAAAGCTTGCAGGAATCCTGTTTGTCTCGGTATTTTTATACTACACACATCAGAAAGCCCATCTCTCCCTGCAGTGCCACTGACCTCAGTCCCCCACCTGCCTTCATCCAGCAATGTGCTGGGTGACCTGGAGATCTAAAAGCCTGGTCTGGTTGGTAACAACATACTATACTCCATTTCAGTCTCCATGTCAGGGTCATCCAGGACATAAAAATTCCGTTGTGCACCACAGCCCCCAGGATTCCCACATCTTTTGGAGGCTTTGATGATCTATACTTACGTATAGCACACTGAAATATTGAACTTCCACTTGGTCAATTTTGCCTCAAGGGTCAGTTCACACATTAAACACATTCTGTCTATTTCTACAGGTTCAGACCCAAGACATTGCAAACCCAGAGCTGACAAACACTTGGTAAATTATGCTGTTCATGCTCCCTCACCCATGGCAGACATCAACAATCAATCACAGCACCATTTCCCACTACACTTTCTCATCTGATCTTTCCAGGCAGCCACTCTTGATCAGTCCCATTGGCATGCAAGAGTGAACCTAATTGCCTCATTGGAGCCATAAGTGAGGAAAATGAGGACTAAAGAGTCAGTGTTACTTTCCTGAGGTCACACTACTAAGCAGTAGAGCTGAATATCAGGGTCTGGTTTTTGTCTTGTAATAGCTTTTGCTGCAACGGCCAAAATGCATTTGAGGTGTCTCACATGTTGCCATGGGTTTTGCAAACCCAGGCACAATGCACAAGGGTCACAGGGCAGAGGTTTACTGCTCAAAAGCCAGAGTAGCTAGAGAACTATGATAAAAAGCCTTCTTGTTTAAAAGGCTTAAGTCAGGTCATTAGTTAGGTTATAGCCAGACAGTGAAAAAAGCAGCTTCTAATCAGTAGAAAGGAAAGAAACATTTTTGCTGCTGGGATTTGATAATGGAATTTTCAGTAAATAATAACTATCACCTCAGGGACTGAAAAAATAGAATTATGCCCAAATTTGGTCACAGAACTGTTGGAGGGTATGCACACAGCTCTGTCTGCTGCCAGCAGCTAATGACCCATGTCCTTGAAATAGAATCAGGTCAGGAAAGGTTGTAAACATTCCTGCTTTCCTGTCCCCTCTTGGGAGTTTGCTCAAATGTGCAATCAATCCCAGTAACAGTTCCACTGGACTTCAGGGAAAAAGAAAAAGAAGTGTTATCCACAAGGAAAATGATGCAGTTCATTCCCATTGGCTGATTCAGGGGTGGCCTTTAGAAGAGCATGGGAGGTGGGGGAAAGACCCTGCCCCAAGTATCCTCCAATTCCCCCTCCATCCCAGACTGCTGCCTAGAATTCCATGTGCCTTTTCTCTCCAGCTCAGATATTCTCAACCAAGAGGCAGCACCCAGGGGGCATAGCAGAAACACCTGGGGAGCTTTTCAAATTCCAAGTGTAAAAGGCAGCCCCACCTCCAGTTGCCACCCCAACCCCTCCAAGGTGTGCTCTACCAGGTGAAGGCCATAGACAGCCCCCGATTGGGGAGGGCACCACAACCCCACATAACCATAAGCCAGCAGTGGGTGGGGAAAGATTGAAAATCCTCTTCAGTCTAAGGCCCTGATTCCTGTGAAAATTATAAGGCTCTAGGAGGATCCATGCCTTGAAGTTTCTCCAAATGACGCGGAAGAGTGCCTTAAATATATTCATGCATTTAACAACAGGTGTTCAGACTGAAATATTGAACTTCCACTTGGTCAATTTTGCCTCAAGGGTCAGTTCACACATTAAACACATTCTGTCTATTTCTACAGGTTCAGACCCAAGACATTGCAAACCCAGAGCTGACAAACACTTGGTAAATTATGCTGTTCATGCTCCCTCACCCATGGCAGACATCAACAATCAATCACAGCACCATTTCCCACTACACTTTCTCATCTGATCTTTCCAGGCAGCCACTCTTGATCAGTCCCATTGGCATGCAAGAGTGAACCTAATTGCCTCATTGGAGCCATAAGTGAGGAAAATGAGGACTAAAGAGTCAGTGTTACTTTCCTGAGGTCACACTACTAAGCAGTAGAGCTGAATATCAGGGTCTGGTTTTTGTCTTGTAATAGCTTTTGCTGCAACGGCCAAAATGCATTTGAGGTGTCTCACATGTTGCCATGGGTTTTGCAAACCCAGGCACAATGCACAAGGGTCACAGGGCAGAGGTTTACTGCTCAAAAGCCAGAGTAGCTAGAGAACTATGATAAAAAGCCTTCTTGTTTAAAAGGCTTAAGTCAGGTCATTAGTTAGGTTATAGCCAGACAGTGAAAAAAGCAGCTTCTAATCAGTAGAAAGGAAAGAAACATTTTTGCTGCTGGGATTTGATAATGGAATTTTCAGTAAATAATAACTATCACCTCAGGGACTGAAAAAATAGAATTATGCCCAAATTTGGTCACAGAACTGTTGGAGGGTATGCACACAGCTCTGTCTGCTGCCAGCAGCTAATGACCCATGTCCTTGAAATAGAATCAGGTCAGGAAAGGTTGTAAACATTCCTGCTTTCCTGTCCCCTCTTGGGAGTTTGCTCAAATGTGCAATCAATCCCAGTAACAGTTCCACTGGACTTCAGGGAAAAAGAAAAAGAAGTGTTATCCACAAGGAAAATGATGCAGTTCATTCCCATTGGCTGATTCAGGGGTGGCCTTTAGAAGAGCATGGGAGGTGGGGGAAAGACCCTGCCCCAAGTATCCTCCAATTCCCCCTCCATCCCAGACTGCTGCCTAGAATTCCATGTGCCTTTTCTCTCCAGCTCAGATATTCTCAACCAAGAGGCAGCACCCAGGGGGCATAGCAGAAACACCTGGGGAGCTTTTCAAATTCCAAGTGTAAAAGGCAGCCCCACCTCCAGTTGCCACCCCAACCCCTCCAAGGTGTGCTCTACCAGGTGAAGGCCATAGACAGCCCCCGATTGGGGAGGGCACCATAACCCCACATAACCATAAGCCAGCAGTGGGTGGGGAAAGATTGAAAATCCTCTTCAGTCTAAGGCCCTGATTCCTGTGAAAATTATAAGGCTCTAGGAGGATCCATGCCTTGAAGTTTCTCCAAATGACGCGGAAGAGTGCCTTAAATATATTCATGCATTTAACAACAGGTGTTCAGACCTACA